GGGGCGGCACAGGGGGTCTCGCCTTCCCCCTGCTCGCTGGAAGCGGCCTGGAGCATCCGGCCCGCTCAGGTGCGGGGAGGAGCGGCAGCGAGCGCCACAACCGGCCTTGTCTCTCAGGGCTTTAAAAAGGCTTTAAAAAGACCTTTAACAGAGCCCTTTTTTTAATTTTTATTTTTATATTTTTGTTTGGTTTGTTACTTTCTTGCATACTCTTCAGTACTTCTGATCCTGAAGCTGGCTGCTATTTCCAGTGTGAAATGAATAGTCGTCCGTCGTTCGTCCCCCCCCCCCCCTCCTTGGGGAAGAACCCGGAACTCCCCCCCCCTGCTTTGGGTAGATACCGGCAACTTGGAAGTGTTTACAATTGGAAACATGTACATCGATTATATTTAATGAGTGAAGGAAGGGAAAAAACGTGATTTCTTCCGTAATACACGGGGTCAAGAGTGGGAAGAGCAGTGATTCCTCCAGGTGGCATAGTGCTGTGCTAGGGTTTATGAATATTTATGGTGACTTTGCAAACTAAGCACCGTTTTTCTGTGTCTATGTGTAAGTGTACTCGGCTTCTAATTCCTTAAAATGTGAGCAGCTGCTTGAGGGAGCTTGCTTATTTTCCTTTATGAGATCACAGTGACTATGTCTTGACTATTCTGAAATGAAAGAGCCAGCTGGATTTATGGTAGGCTTCGTATTTTCTGCAGGTCAGTAGCTGCCCACGGGTGAAGTGTAACTTCTTTTTTAAAAATAATTCTGTATTCAAGTTTAAGCAATTTGATTGTTTTAAGCAGAGGTACAATTTAAATGAGATTTTGAAGTTCTCCTTGCTGTAATATTTGTGGTACCGTGTATTTTAGGGAGATTCTGTGTCTCATTTTTTTAAGAAGGAATCCACCATTACAGTACTGAAACTCCTCCTAATTTGGAGAGTGGGTGAAGAAAGCAAATGGAGTACCTGAAATTTAGTACACTTTCTCACACTTTCAGAGTTGTGGTTTGAAAGTGGGTTGGCTCAGCTGCTGTCAGAAAAAAAAAAAAAAAAAGGTTGATAGAATTCACTTTAATTTATATTCTTTTCTATAGTATTCTTTGAAACATCTTGTAAAGATGAAAGTGCTTAATTGTGACAGTATCCATACTAATTGATGTAGATTGTTTCTTTTTTAAGGTCGGAGATCTAAAACAAAAGGAGGTTAACTGAGAGAAACCAAGAACTTTAGAAGGATTGACAGTAAGATGCTGTGTGGGTTACAAACTCATCTTTCTTACTAAATAAAAACAATGGAGTTGCACCAGCAGAAGTCACCAAAGCACCAAAATACAGTATGCTGCATTTCCCACGGCTAGCTAGTTGTCTGTGTCTTAATAAGCATTTCCCATTGCAATGGGAAATTTCCCATTGCAATGGGAAATACTGTCTAGTGTGTTCCAAGGCAGCTCAAAGCTGTTTCTGATTTTCATTTTGACTTCTTACTAAGAAGAGTAGAGTTTGAAACAGACATGTTTGATCTAGCTGTTCTGGTGAAGTGATTGACAAACATTTTATTCGCTGCTTAAAATTCTTCATTTCAGTATCTTGCAAGTAGTAAATGTGGCCAGTATGTTGACATTGGAATTCTAGCATCTGATTTGCAGAAAACCTACAGGTGAGCAAAGATTTGTATTCTTATGTTCTACATTCAGAATATGGAACTTTTTTTTTTTTAATTTGTGTATTTTTAATCAAAATTTTAATTTTTTTATGTTAACTTCATTACCAGTTTTAAGGTTGATTGAAACAGAAAGATAGTTTCCACTCCAGTGTTTGCTGATGTATCTAATAACTTATATTTTATTAATGCATTGGCATTGCAAGATCTAGTTGTGGTTTGTGGGTTTTTTTTGTTGTTTTGTTTGGGTTTTTTTTAATTAAACAGCTATAGATGCATTACAACATGTTGGTTCTTTTGCCAGTAAGCTTAAAATGTTAGTGAAAATAACACTTCAGTGCAGACAGATGAGGGAGATACAGGATTCAGTGAGACACTGAATCTTGTTCAGTTGCTCAGCAGGACAGTCAGTCTTGCCTAATTATTTTTAAGCTGTTACACTTCTCTAGGTGCTTTGTTTCATCCCAGTGATTGAACTATTCCAGGCTTAAGAAAAAACAATCACTTTTTCACATAGTTGGTTTTTAATAAGAGCTTGTGTAGAAGCTTGAGTATCAACTTACAAAGTATTTTTTCCACTGAGGAAGACATGTTGCGGGGGGGGAAGCAGTTGATGTAACCTATTTATTTTGTGTTTTTTCAGTGCAGAATATGGACGAAGAAAAAGAAATGCTTTTAGAATACAAGTTGAAAAAGGTAGTTCTGTTAGTGTTATGTCCAAGACGCCAAATTCTTTGATTACGCTTTGGCTGTTTTCTTATTGTGTTTGAACTTTTTCTTTCAGTGTTCGGAATAATCAGTAATGAAAAAGAACGTGAAGATTTAGCAGTTTTAGAAGCTGAACATGTGGCAAAAAGAGCAAGACAACAAGAGAAAAATGAGTAAGAAGAATTTTTACCATGAGATTACTTTCCTAATGCCATTAGTATTATCATTTCTTTAAAGGTTTCTGTCTTCACATTGTTAAATGGTGGTAGTTCCAAGGTTAGTGAAAGATCCTTCATTTCCTATAGGCTTGTCTTCATCAGAAGTTACCTGTAGTTAATGGAAGCACTTTTTTTTCACTGAAGACAAGCAGATAGTAGAGCCAATCATGCTTTCTGTGTTGTGGAGAACATACAGCCCTGAATTACTGGATATCCTTGGGGCTTCCTTGGTAGTTTTCCATGTATGGCCCCAGTCCTCATGTGATTCAGTTCCTTTGTTTTGTTTTGTTCTTAATCTTTCTTGGGTGGGAGAGATATTAGCTAAATCTGAGAGATAAGACTACAAGACAGGCTATTCAGAGTAAATCACCACTGGTTATGAGGTTGGAATTAAGATTTCCTAACTCTTAACCCTGTGCATAGTCTCATGGACCATTCTGGTTTCTCTAACCTGTGATAGATACTAAGGGTCTTATGGGAAATTAGGACATTGTAATCAGA